AACTGTGTACCAGTTCAACGTTGAATATTATTTATGATTTTAACTTTATACACAAGTGCCAAAATACTATAATTAGGCTTTTCAACTCTTTAAAGATAATCAACATTCACTGAAACCCCGCTAATGCTATACGAGTTCACGTGCCCGAGCTGCAACAAATAATATATTGGATCAATCACTAGAAGGCTCTGCAGTCGATTAAAAGAACACTGTAACTGTAAAACCTACAACACCAGTAGTGTTATCAACTACTGTCTGAACGAATGAAATATTGTACCTAATTACGATTTCTTCCGCGTCACTTTCCATACCAGAGAAGAATTCCAGCTTAGAATGCTAGAACTTATTGTCATTAAACTAAGAAAACCAGCTTTTAACCAGAAGATGGACACACTATGAAAATGTAATGAAAAGAACATAAAATGAACATGCAAATTGGTTAAATAGATAATTTACAATAAAAAATAGCAAATAAGTATTTGTTGAATCTTTTTTTTTTATCTAAGCTGATAGCAACCATTAAGTAGTTTTCAATGTTTCTTTTATTAAGTAATTTGTAAAGACAATTAAATATAAAGCTTGGGACTTTTAAGCAGCTATACAACCTAAAACTTTGAACTAAAATTCAAGTTTTTCAGATTAGAAAACAAGATAAATAATGAAATAAATTTAATATAAGTAATAAAAAACTTTGACTAAAAAGAAAAGAATTAAAATTTTATAAATCTTTTAGAATACCATACAAAACCAGTACAACGAAACTTGAAAACTAAAAGCTCTAATCACGTAAGAATAAGTGCAAAACATTTAATCAATTTAAATTTCACAAGAATGACCTTGTTAGTTGCTTAAAATTAGTTATGTTGTAATGCATCAAAAGTAAAATAATTAAAAATTAAAATGCTGAAAAATATTTACAAAACCATTTATTGATTATATGGGCATCAAAGGATGTTTTGTAACACAAGTCACTTTCGTCTTTAGGTCTGAAAAAAATAAAGATTTTTTTTGTGTCTGTGCTTCCATCTGTTAAACACTAAACAAGTTAATTCTCAGTGAGAGTCTTTTATTTCTACACAAAAATAATTACACTTTCGACGAAAATCTGAAGATATTAATGTTTCCCGAAATAACACACATAACTGTAGACGATGTTACGTAAAGATCAAGATGTGATTTTTTTTTACTTAAAAAAGTGACCTAATTATGTCCATGCTGTTCAAATGTGAGATTCTTGGAAGCTATGATACATTTTACTTTATTTGATTAAGATTGTTCCATTAAACGTGTAAAAATTACGTATATGTTCCACAGAAAGTACATAAATTGTTATTTATTGATCCACAAGTAGCTCACTGGTAATTCCGAAGGTTTATAACGCTAAAAATCGGATTTTGATACCTGTAGTGGACACGGCGAAGATAGTCCATTGTGTAGCTCTATGCTTAATAACAAACGAACAAAATATTTATTAATGGCAGTAGATTATTAGGTGCACGCAATCTGGATTAATCATTATATACCAAGAAAAAATACAACAAATAAAACATCTTTACAAAAACCTTAGAAATTCGCAAAGATAAACTTGAAATAATTCCACATTTTAATTAATTATTTATTTATATTTTACCTAAATCAAGTGCTCCAGTGGAAGAGGATATGGGCATTTATTGTCGTTCTATTTAAATTAGGTACTCCTTCAATGGAAGGAGATATGATCATTTATTGTCATTTTATATAATTCAGGTTCTTTTCAGTGGAATAGGATATGGGCATTTATTGCCGTTTTATTTAAATTAGGTACTCCTTCAATGGAAGGAGATGTAGACATTTGTTGTTGTTTTATTTAAATCATATATTCCAAAACTAAGGGGATATGGACATTTATTTTTGTTTTATTTAAAACAGCTATTTCTTAAGTCAAAGGAGGTTAAGACATTTATTGTTGTTTTATATAATTCAGGTTCTTCTTCAATGGAAGGGAATATGGACATTTATTTTTGTTTTATTTAAAACAGCTATTTCTTAAGTCAAAGGGGATAAGACATTTATTGTTGTTTTATATAATTCAGGTTCTTCTTCAGTGGAAGGGGATATGGACATTTGTTTTATTTAAAAAAGCTATTTCTTAAGTCAAAGGGATAAGACATTTATTGTTGTTTTATATATAATTCAGGTTTTTCTTCAGTGGAAGGGGATATGGACATTTGTTTTTTTATTTAAGACAGGCTATTTCTTAAGTCAAAGGGGATAAGACATTTATTGTTGTTTTATATAATTCGGTTCTTCTTCAGTGGAAGGGGATCTGGACATTTATTGTTTTTTTTATCTAAAACTGCTATTTCTTAAGTCAAAGGGGGATAAGACATTTATTGTTGTTTTATATAATTCAGGTTCTTCTTCAGTGGAAGGGGATATGGACATTTATTTTTCTTTTTATTTAAAACAGAAATTTCTTAAGTCAAAGGGGGATAAGACATTTATTGTTGTTTTATATAATTCAGGTTCTTCTTCAATGGAAGGGGATATGGACATTTATTGTTTTTTTTTATCTAAAACAGCTATTTCTTAAGTCAAAGGGGGATAAGACATTTATTGTTGTTTTATATAATTCAGGTTCTTCTTCAATGGAAGGGGATATGGACATTTATTGTTTTTTTTTTTTTATCTAAAACAGCTATTTCTTAAGTCAAAGGGGGATAAGACATTTATTGTTGTTTTATATGATTCAGGTT